TCCTCTTAGGCCTTCTAACGAGCCATCATTTGATCCAGGTGCGTTAAAATCGGGAAGGGAACTAAACCATGCAGGATGCCGGACCTCGAGGACCGACTTTGGGCACCCCTGATCTATACCCACCGTCAGCAGTCCGCATCAACACTTTCATATAAACATTAATGATTTGTACACAAACTGAAGCATTCACCCCTCAAATTTAAACAGGTGATATATGATGTATTTCCATTCGAAGCCTCTTCTTGTACGACTGAAAACCACCTCGGCTGTAAACAGCGCAAATGCGCTGCGGGGGTGTGCCAACAGATTGAAGTTTCTCACCGTTATCAGAGACGTCTAAAGTCCCCACACACGAAACGCGAGGGAAGAGCTCCTGGATCACGGCGGCACCCGCCGACCTCAGCTGTGGGGAGAAACAAAAAGTGGAGCGGAGCATGATGGGAGGCTTAACTGAGAAAGATCACGAGTGGATTCATGCAAGCAGAAGAGGGCTGGCGGACGATACCTCACAGCCGCTGATGTCCAGGTGAAGGTCGGAGATGTGAGGGTTGTTGGACAAACCCAGGAAGAGAGCTCTGAAAGAAAACACGAGAAAAAAGAAAAGGGTGAAAAAACAGAGACGAAAATAACAATGGCGGAAAATGTGTGCGGAAGAGGTGAGAACGCTGATAAGAAATGAAGAGAACATGTCATTAAGAAAAGAGAAAACTGCAAAAAAAAAAAAAAATTTAAAGAATAAAGATTCCTCCTCAACATAAATCCAATCTTGAATCTCCTCCCTCCGAGAATCTGAATGGGATCAGCACCCTGGTGCATCTTGTTGCATATTTTGCCGTGCACACCTAAACGTTTTAGAGCCTTCTTAAAAGATTAGAGAAAAGTAGCTTAGAAAGAAGTGTTGCTTCAAAAAGCTTTCAATATTTATTAAGGCCAAGCAGCCAGTTGTAATGGGACATAAAAAATTATGCAAACGCACAAACTCAGCTGGATGCGTCAGCACAGCAGGAGCATGCAGGAAATTTATCTTCCTGTGAAAAAAAAAAAGAAAAGTAAGAATGATGCACCAGAAGGAGGTAAGCAGTAAAAAAAGTCTGTTCCATTTTGGCTGGCATCCATCATGCAGCATGCAGCTCTCTGTTTGCTGCCAATTTTGCTTTGTTTTTTCTGTTATTGATTGTGGGTTTTTTTTATTTTTGTTGTTGTTTTTTGGCTCTTGCTTGTTAACACCAGGCTTGTGCACCTTACAGGGGCAACTGGAAATTCACTGCGCTCCCTTTATCCCTGTTGGAGAAATTCTCTCTGTTTTTGGCCACTGTGGTTTCAATAGCAGATCTCCTGAAGCTGCCGAGAACAGAGTCCAGTCGGCGCAGGAAGCTTCGGTCCGGACCGTCTGATTGAAGTCCAGTCCACATGAACGTGTCAGTCGACTGGATCTACTGTAGAAGAAAACGTTGGAAGACTAATGCACAGATGGCGAGGGTGCAAACAACCCTCTGCACGCATGTGCTATTTTAGTCTGCAAACCTAAAACAATATGCAAAGAAAAAAAAATCATCCACAGAAAGGAATGAAGATTAGTTTCAATGGTATAAAAATCTGAAGGCAGTCGACAGTCGATCTTTTAGGTCTCTATAAAGGCTCCCTCAGTCTAAATAATGCAGATATGAATACAAATTGAGAAAAAAAAATCCAGAGATGTGGAAGAGTATTTGCTCACTTTGGTTTGTGTCGTTTTTACTTTTTGGACACTTAAATCACACCTAATTTATTACCAAACAAAGACAATTTAATAACCAAATGAGAACTTAGAAAGAAAAAAAAAAGCTATCCAAACCAATAACGCCCTTTATTAAACCAAGTTATTAACCACATTTTTTGGCTCAGTTTTACTCCAAGGCGTCACTTCGAAAGTTTGACAACATGAAATAGGCTACCAAAAGTCTCAAAAAGCAAGAAGTCCTGATGTGAAAGAAAGGCATGCACAGACATAAAAATAAAAAAGATCATAAATAAATGTTTTATGAAGAAAACAATTCCTAATTCAGAGAAATAAAAAAAAAAAGTCTACTTATGGAGAAGTAAAAGAGAAAATCAAAAAGACATCAAATTGATTACATACGTAAAGAAAAATCCAAAATTACAAAAGTAAATGAGTAAATAAAAGCTCAATACCTAACGTGAAACATTAAAGCAGAGATTAAAATTTCTGACATTCTAACACACTAATTATTACCTAAATTAATCGTTTTTATGACTGCCGCCATCACCACTGCTACTTTTGTATTTGAGTTCTCACTCCGGCTTTAGACGTCGTCAATGTTCTCCTCAAGGCTTTTCACCAACAGTGCCTTCCAGCATCGTAGGTGGGTATATTTTTAGCAGGAGCGGCTCCGTGCAATGACAACAAACATGTTCTGACATTTCTACCAACCTTGACTGACAAACAGGTGGATCTGTCAAGACTGCTGAGGGATTTATTCAAGATGAGAGTGATGGATTCAATTAGATTTAGTTGTTTAGTTGCTAGGAGAGCTAATTCAGACTCTTCTTTTGAGGCTAATAGCATGTTGTAGTCTTTTTTTGTTCTTGTTTTTCTTTGTTTGTTTGCTTGACAATTTTGATTTTCTTTCCCAAGATGATGTCACCCATGAACTCATCTGATCAAATAACACTTTAATTCAAAAGTAGCGAGTCATGTTCTTCTTAAAAGAAGAAGAGGTTATAAGACCATGTCCCTAATCTTGCGTCTTATTTTTACAACACTCAAAACTATGTGCAGTGAAACTTCTGCATGCACACATTGCAAAAAACACAAAATCTTACCAAGTACTTCTGATCTAATATCAAGTGCAAATATCTCAGTACACTTGGAAAAAGACAAACTAACTTACAAGTAATTTTTAGCAAAAAATGGAGGATTATTTTAAGTAAATAATTCCTTAATATTGATGAAAAAGTACTAGTTCCATTGGCAGATTATTTCACTTATATAACAAGACATTTCCCCATGTTACAAGTTAATTTTTCTGCCAATGAAACTAAACAGGTTTCATTGGCAGAAATATTCATCAATATTAAGGAATTATTTACTTAAAATAGTTATCCATTTCTTGCTAAAAATTACTTGTAAGTTTTTTTTCCTAGTTTAAGTGTACTAAGATATCTGCAATAGAAACTAGACCAAAAGTAATTGGTAAGATTTTGTGTTTTTGCAGTGCGGAGTTTAAGGATCACAACCACCTACGAAAAGTTAGAATTCACCGACACGCGAGACCCCTTATAGGAACGCCTGTACCTGCTTTTTGCAAGAGTTCAAACACCAACGATACCTTAACATGTATTAATATGCACAGTGGGAACCTTCTCAGAATGACCATGGAAGCTAACAAGCTAACACATTCCTTATTTTTATTTTTGGGACGCCAATCAGCGTCAAGAAAACTCAATGACGCTCTTGGATTTGCTGCTTTGTGTACGTCAGCCAATAGCATGTAAAGTAGCATTTCGCTAACATACTTCAGCTTCTCAAGCAGCCACGTTCTTTCGAATATTATATGCTCTTTAAAAATAAAAAAAACACAAACAGACAACTTTTCCACAAATAATCTGTAGTTACATTCCACAAAAAAAAAAAAAAAATCAGAAAGAGCTGAATCTGCAAATACAGAAACACAAAATCAAGTTTGCTGACATGTTACTTTTCCCACTTTTGATGCATTCAATGAAGAGAAAAAAATCCACCGGTAAGAACTGTTGGCGAGAAAACCGGCTGATAACGACCACCGCCTGACTGATATGTGTTTTTTAAAACGACTTAGATATTTACTGTATGGGATCAAAACTGCTTGTATTGCAGTTTATTATTTTTTTGCCAACTAAGTAGATGCCTCTTGTTCAAAGACATTCCAAATGAGGAGATTCAATTACCAAGTGGCTGTCACAGGTGGTGAAACATTAGTCAGAGCAACACAGTCAGCAGAATGTTCCCAATACAGGCAGAACAGGAACACCACACACAATCAGTATGTTATATGTACATGATTAAAACAGAGGATATGGTCATATAACGAACAAGTGTTACATATCAGACATTATTTTTGTTATTTTTAACACTAAATCTTAATTGTGAGTTCAGCTCAGGGTACAGTTACCCTCACATGAACAGCATTAGATCCCATATCACACAAATCTCCATCTGCTGACTGCAGGGGCCCCGATTTACTGCTGGGTAATTACAGCTGTGTGAAGTAGCAGAAATATGATCATTAAAGTGGTGTGTAAGTTCATTCACACAAACTCAGAGTTATATTTCTAACCCCCATTATTTAATAATACAAAAATGCATCTTTCTCATTTCTTCAACACTGAGCTTTTGAACTTGTACAAAACGCAAGTTTAAAGGCACTATGGCTCTCCATGCAGGGCGCCAAGAATTATGGGATTCCCCAAACATTCAAAATATTTAAAAATAATTTTTAAAAAAAACTAGTGTTCACGTGCTTACAGTTGGAGAGTGGACAGTCCTTTTGTTGCGCAGACTATAAACTCTTTGAGAACATACAAAGGGTTAGTGATGCTGACGCTGCGTAAGTGGTAAATTAAAGGGTCATTGCAAACTAAAGGGGTAAGTAAAACGGTCTGGAATATGCTTGATCATGTATAGTTCAAAAATACTAAATATCTAAACTGGTCAAATATCATTTGGATTGTTCTACACCGAAGAGAGATTCTTTAAAATACCACTAGATATTCACAAAAGCCTTAAGGTATTTGTGCAAGTACAAAAAAATTGGGAAAAAAGCAAAAACCAAAATATAGTCTGGAGATGCACCTTTCCAGCATCAATATCCATCTTGGTCGTGATACTGAAAACATTAAATGTGCCAGATCCATACAGGGAAATCTATTCAGTCTAATTATATGCTTTGTGCTCTGAGTAACATCAGGCTTTATTATTTATGCTACATTTCACTTAGATTCCTAATTGCACTTTCTAACCCATCAGACAGAAGGTTTGCTGAAGTTTTAATTTTATGTGTTTAGTCAACCTTTTGGTTTTTTGTCTTTATTATTTATTCAACATTGGCTGTTACACTCTTAGCTGAACTGACTAAACAAAATAAAGTTGTTTTTATATGACTGACCAAGTTTGTGTGAAGTTATTGATGTATCTAACGTGTGCTGGATTGGTGCAGGGTTATTAAATGAATTTGTAATTCAGTATATTTATATTTGTATTTAAAAGAAAGAAACGCTTTAAGTCAATTCAGCACTCAGATTTAGTATCAGTTTTGATCGATACTAAATCTGAGATATCTAAATTAGTATCAGTTGTAAAAAAAAATAGAACCATGTCATACAGATTACTCAAAGTTGGACTTCTTAATGTTATCATAGATGCTTTAAAACACTTTTGAATTAGTGAAACTTGAGTATTGGAGATTTTTTAGTTTCTCCAAAATATCATCTGTCGATAAATACAAACTAATGCTATTTTTAGTTCAGAATATCTTCAATTAAATTTTTTTTGGTTGTGAGTTTGTGAGTTAGGTGACAGAAGAAAAGCACTCAGATAGGTTGCCTTTCGTGGAAGAACCGCCACAGCTGAGTGCTCTTTTTTTTTCCCCTCAGGCAGTGGGAGCAGCTACAGGATGGTATTTCTTAAACTGTAAATTTTTGGTGAAATAAATAATATATAAATGAAATAAAATCCTATACTTAGATGCAAGAAGTTGTAATCAAAGTGCTTGGATTGCAAGAGTGTCCCAGGCAGCAATTTCTTTTACTTGTGAGTTCAGCGAGAGGTGAGAGGCTGGTGGAATGTGTGTGTGTGTGTGTGTGTGTGTGTGCGTGTGTGTGTCTGTGACATTCAGCATAAAAAGTAAAGAGAGATGAACAGCACTGCACAAGGATCATCAATAAGCGATAACATTACCATTATGGATGTTAAACATCCTGTCCATGCATCAACTGGGCAGAAAAACAGCTTCTTCACCGTCTTTAAAGAATCCACATTCATGTCAGTGAAAAGGTGTTTGTGTCAGTTCAAAGTGCCTCTGTGATTTTGGGAGTCTCCCTCTCATTTTTTTCGGTGCCACACTGAAGCTTTCTTGATATTTTTCTGCTGGCGTTTTTGCATCTGATAGTCTAGTAGACTGGGCTTGATTGGGGACCAAAATGCCAACATTTACTACATTTTCAGCTGGTACAGTTTGCTTTCACACTGCACTGTGTCAAATGATCCAGTGGAGTGTCGGCGGATTTTAGTGGGTGTAGGGTTTCTCTTCTGTCTTCGGTGAAACATCGTGTCGTTACTCCAGCTAGTGGAAGACTTGCGGGTTTGTTTTGGTTGTATTTAAAACCAAAACAAGCAAAGTGAACAATAGTGCACTGCAACTAGATGACAAATTTACTGAATGAGACTTTTCTAGTGATTTATAGAGAACCACCGGTTTTTCTAAGGACTTAAGGAACAAATCCACTCACGAAATCTTTGGAGAATTAAACACCTATTTTAATACTTCAAACAACAAATACACCTTTAATAAGTATTACACACAGTGAGCACCATCTTAGCACGACCGCAGAAGCTAACATATACAGGTTTCTTTATCTCCGCGATCATCAACCAATCATTGCCAAGCAAAAGAAGGCTGCTTCTGGATTGGCTGCTTTGCCAACTACAGCCAATAGTGTGTCAAGGAGCACTGCGTCAAGGTATTACAGCTTGTCTAGCTGCAGTTTGTGTTGAATATTTTAGATATGCCCTATTAAAAAAAAAAAAAAGTCAATAGGTGGATTTTCCACAAATAATTTGGGGTCAAGTTCCATAAAAACATCCACAAACAGGCGAATATGTGAATAACTAAACCACTAAAAGGTGGAAGTCCGCTGTAATTACAAGGGAATAAGCTACTTCTCTGGCTATGGAAACCCAAACAGGTCATTTTATGGAAGCAGTCGGGTTTAGTTCAAGCAGCAGTCCTTGTTGAGAACTGGAACACTTTTAGTAGAAAATCCCCTTTATTCTACAGCGTGTTTCCACTCAGTCTTTATCTCCCCTGGGCTCAGGAACAATGCTCTGCAGACATTAACTAGAGATCGTTTGAATACAAAAGGCTAAAAAAAAATAAAGAAAAGCTTCCTCTGTGTGTATTCTGAGGGATCTGCATCAATAGGCTGACTAAAACCGTGATTTACACTGTGCGGTACCTATGTTTTATAGAAATCTAATTTTGTAGCTACTTCACTTTAAACTTTAATGCGACTATTTTTATAAATGATCTTAACACGCCGCTTTACTGACAATACTGCTTTACTGCCTTCATTAGAACAGAGTCTGGCAGGGATGCTGATTTATGCATCACTTGAAAAGCGACAGACCTTTAAAAGGTATTTATTTATTTTTTTACAGGTCACTTTGTCTGTAAAACCGGCTTTTACACTGAACACGTTCGTTCGAAATTCAATTAAAAACGATTCGAGAATTAATTAATTACAGCCGCTTTGTCCAGCCTATAGATGTCACTTGCAACAAAGTCTGGCTGGCAGACTTTTGAGAGAGGCCGCTGAAGCCCACGTTCTCACCTCAGAGAATCCGGTGGGACCTTCATGGAGGCCAGGCTGACGTGGGTCAGGCTGAAGGCCGAGCTGAAGAACTGGCGGAAAGTCGGCAGAGAGTCTCTCCCTCTCCTGGGAAGGGAAGGCACAACAGAGCAGAAAAAAAACAGAAAGAAAGAGACGTTTAAATAGAGAGAGACGGATCACAGCCAGCCAGACACGACAGTACATAAAAAGTGCTTAGACGAGAACAAGAACAGATGGAAGACTGAACGAGAAACAGAGAGAGAACGACATAAGGAAGAGGAGCGGGGGCAAAAAAAGCTTATAAAGAGCGACAGAAAGCGTTCAGCAGATGAGCAGGGAGGAAATGTGGCTGTGCTAAAGCAGACAGACGCCGGCGGAGACATTTAGGTCAGTATTACATCCAGGAGGCGCTATATAGTACTGGGTCTTGGCATTTATTACTGCCACCACCTTAAAAGGTAAGAATAACAAATCAGCCAACCATCTGCTTGGCAAATACAGTAAATTAGCCTGTCAACAGGAGAGAGAGAGAGAGAGAGAGAGAGAGCGCGAGCTGGTTCGGATGTGTTTAGCACTCGTCACGGCAACTGATCTGCCACTTCTGCTTCCCGCAGTACGGGTAATTCACCCCATCGGTGGATGGGGGAAAAAAGGGTTTCTTGGGAACGCAGGGTGAAGTGATGAGCGGCAGAGGAAAGATGGAGTTGGTTTTTTTCAGGAAATGATCACCTGCTTCATCTTTTTTTTTCTTCATGAAGCTGGTATTTTGAAAAGATGCCTTTTCCTGTCTGTTCATCCTGAGTTCATCTATTACAGCGAGGTTAATCAGAAATACCCGGCCTGCAGCCACAGCTGTAATATCACCTGAACCTTGGATATGGATTGTCAAGCTGCACTCTGCTCTCCTCTTTGATTGCTGAGCCAATTTTAAAAAAAAAATAAAAAATTCCCCACGTCTTCATGCATTTGCCACAGCTGATGCGTGGATATGAAAGCGGTAATGTAACGTATTAGGAATAAAATGACGAATCATTCTGCCTTCCCGGTCCCTGGCTCAGTTCAGAACATTTCATGCTCCGTGCTCACCCCGCACACCCACCCCCACTCGTCCCGTCCTTGTGTATGTCGTGACCCAATGCTTTATGATGATTAGGAGTCAAAATTAGAACAATCAGAGCTTGACTGATAGCATGCCAACTTGGGCGTTAGGGATAATGAAAGATTACAAGCTTCAATGGATTTTGTTTTGGATTGTGTTTCGTTTTATTTTATTTTTTTCCATTTCCACAGGCTGTAGGTTCACGCGCACACACACACACACACACACACACACACACACACACACACACACAGGATATTACTAGAATGAAGGATCATTATTTTCACTATAACTGTTTAGGAATCCTCCCATCTTCAGCCTGCGACAGATAAAAACTTTGTTATCTTGTAATAATACTGAATAAAAGCATCTTGTGGTTATTGGGAAAAAAAAGTAGGATTAATTAGGTTGCAATGCTTTGAATTGTTTAGATAAATAAACATCTTTCATTTTGTCAAATACAAATAGAAATCTGAAAAGTGTGGCGTGAATTTCCATTTAGTCCCCCGATTCAAAATGAATTAATTTTTTTGTACATTGTTTCCAAATCAGCTCAAACTGTGTTGAATGTATTTGCATTCACAACAGTTGTGCTTATTCCAACTCAATCAAGCTCTCGTTTGTTTGAGGAGGTGTGAAAGCCTAACTGGACGCTCCAAAAAGGTGAACTCTGGTCTGCATAAAAACCTAGGTCTCCGTTTGGTGGAAGTGAACTCAGGTGTGGTTCAAATACACATGTGGATGGCCAAGGCAGCTCCAAATGCAAGAAGTGGACTTTAGCGCAGGGCCTGCTGGGTAAATACAACCAAAACAAAAACACTAGCGCTAGTGGGAGAAACAGCTTCCAGTCTTTTGACAGAGAAAAAAAGAAAAGTCCTACAAGCTCTAAAATCTGACGCCGCTCCAATGTTGTTAACATTTGGTGAAGAAGAAAGCAGCACTTGGCAGCTGTGTTTTCATAAGCCATAAAATTACACAACTTGAAATCATAAAAATAAATTTGCTTCATGTAAACATATCAATTTTGAAAACAAAACAAAAACAAATCAACAGAAAGTAGGAGGAGGAATTGGAGATTGTGCTTCTGCTTCTGGCTCCACCAGAGCTCTCACAGCAAGGCACAGTTCATAACAATTTTGTGTCATTCAAATGTGTTGAATCCATGGCTCTTCTGTAAGATCACAGACTATAATTTCCCCAACACGATGCATATGATCCAAATATAAGGTCTTGTCACTCCGCCTGAAAAATGTCTGCTCTGATTGCTGACAGATGATGGTTGAAATATGAATATGTGTTTATATTCGTCATTTTTAATGACTCATCGCGTGAACAAGTTCATTCACATTTAATTTTCATTTCATTTCCTAGTGGAAATTTGGAAATTCCCTAATTTCAAAATTGTGGGGTTTTTTTTACCACCTCAGCAAAAGATAGACAAAGATTTGCGCACATTTGTAACGGAAATGCAGCTGTTGTCTTCTTCAGAGGTTTTCTTATCGTTTCCTTCATCGGTTCTTGGTGCGGCGCCACCACAGGCGAGGAGGTGAACAGGTTTTTCAAAAGGTTTGGTTCATTTGACAGGAGAGCAGTATGAACGCAAATTGAAAATCTAACAAATGCTGCAATTTTGGTCCCCAGTCAGACTGAGTCTACTGGATCATCAGGGGTGAAATGAAAACACCCTGACAGAATTTCCTCAAACCTGCATAAAAGCTATGCATCATCTTCCTTATGCTTGACAATTCTGAACCACTTTGTCTCGATTCTAGTCCCAATGATCCTGGTAAAATCCAGATAATGGCTGTAAACTGACAAAACACGAAATCCTCTAGCATATTCACCCTGCAGAGATAAAAGCATGTTAACTTGGCACGGCGATAAAAGTGAATAAACGAGGCACGAGATAAAGACGGAGAAAATGGAGAGCAAATGAAGTTATGCAGGCTAAAAATGGAAAAGGTCAATAGAGAAAAGGAAGACAGAGCCATCGAGATAGCTACGAGGGGAGAAGCAGGGGAGCCGCATTACAGCCGCAGTTAGAGCGATAACCTCCCTCTCTTCTTTTTTTCGGTTCATTTCTAACGATTAGCATACAGCTTGTCGAGTCTCCACAGATACACAACGGCTTGTGTCGCCCGGGCAGATACGGTGTCGCCGTCTCTCTCGCGCTACGCTCCCCGGAGAGCTTTATCAGCAACTCTGAGCCACAAGTACGTGTGTGCGTGTGTGTGTATGTGGGTGTGTGTAGCAGCATCTACACAGGCGGCTTCATTGTCTCTCGAAAGCGGAGGAGACACGTGTACGTGTGCGGCGGACAGCAGAGGTGATCCATGCCCGGGTTTCGTATTCATGAGAATCAGCGGCCCCGGCCGTTCCTTATCGGCCCCGTTCAGCCTCGCGGTTCCATGCTGTCACGGCAACACCGGGGCCACCTTACCGGAAGCGTGGATTAAAACGCCAGAGAACCAGCGGGAGGTGGGAGGGAGGAACTATGAACAGGAGGAGGGAGGGAAGTGCTGGGAAAGATGATGAAAGGTGGATGGGGCAGAGGAAAAAAAGAAAAAAAAAAGAGTGGTGAGGAGACATAAAAGAGATCCAGCAGATGCAAAGACAGAACAAACACACACACAAAAATGCATTCATGGGACCCTGGGGCCTGCAACAATAATAATTCCCCATCTAAAATTAGTCTCATTTTTCACCAACTTCTCCCACTCTGTAATTCTGTAATGCAATATGCTGAGCAGGGAAGCTCCCGGGCCCCTGGGGGACACGGTCTGTCGAGAGCCGGAACCGCTCCAGCCTTCCAGCAAAGGTAAACAGAGAGACACGCACACAGTTAAAAAAAAAAAAGAAAAAAAAAAAAGAAAAAAAAAACTTGTGGGCATCCAAACGAGCGCCTGACAGATTGAAAACTTGTTGGCAAACAGAGACGTGTGCATGGGCGAAAAAAAACCACCAACACATTCTGCAAACACATATGCGGGAAGAGAAGAACGAATCAACGGAAGAGGAGAAAATCAGCGTAGGTCCCAGACAAAACATTAATATAGCTGAGGGAAAAAAAAGATCTCTTAAAAGTCTCCTGAGTTGTTTTTTTCTTCTTCTTTTTTTGAAAAAGATAAACAAAGAAAGATATCTGATGCCCACCTGTGAGAGAAGGAGTTCTTGGACAGATTCAGGTAGGAGAGGTCGGCGCAGCAGCCTCGCAGCAGGGCCCCGAATAGCTGCCAGGAGAGAGACAGATCAATACCAGAGCTCTGTTCACAACTGTTCGGCGATCGTGTTGCACAACAGTTATTTTAGCCGTGCAGAGAATGCCAGAGCGCAGACTGAAGGACACCGAAAAGCAAAAGCATCACAGGTGAGACAAAAATCATCCGGTGAGAAGTGTTTGCGATTTATTTCTGACATGCATTTCTACGCTTTTACATCAAATTGTAGAAAGTTTCCAAGTTTTAATTTCAGTAAGGTAAAAAAGCAGTTTCTATATACATTAGAAATGACTGTCCTACATACTTTGACCACTGAATAATAAAAAAAACAACTTCTTATTAGTTCCAAGAAAAACACATGGCTTGGTTCGAGAAAACCAAGAGGGGATTCTGGATCAAGTATGCTTTGTTTCCACATGAGTAAGGGCCAAGAGACTTCTTATAATTAATTACTGTTTGCTTTTCAACTCGCCTTTCAATTAACCTCAGGAGAACCCTCTGAACTTATCTGGTGACATTCTGAGGCAGACCAAATCCACCGCCGTCAACGACTGGTCCCAAAGCGCCAAAGTACTTCAAAATAAAAAACACAAAACAAAAGAAACAAGCGACGACTGAAAGGAGCAACCACAGCTATAATTAAATGAAGAATAAACCAGCTTAATAGAAAAGACTGAGCTATGGCAGAGTTTTCCTTCTTCTCCTATATTTTAGAATTTCATTACTGAGCTTGTATAGTTCTGACTCACTTTAAGATGTTTGTTGAAATAAATAAGAGTAATCCTTTAGCTGCGTTTCAGAAACAAATACAGGACATAAAACATGTGAAAACGGTGTTGCATTAATTGTATTAATAATTTAAAAGAATTAAAGAAGAAATTTAAAAAGAAGTTTATGTATACAGTAACCAACATACAGAAAACTTTGCTCTTTGCCGTTAACTTCTGTAAAAACATGACTGAGCAATGATGAGCAGCTTTTTCCAATTTTTCGACTGGTGTTTTTACAACTTAAAGATGTTCGTTTTTGGTCTTTCATGGCTTTGAGGTTGGAAGCCCTCCTTACCATCGCCCTAATCTTTAGCTCCTTTCATAGAGTTTTATTCAGATTCTGGTCTGCACAACTTTAACATCGTTTCCTTGGAGAGGAAGCATGTAGACAAAAATGAAAAGACTGCTTTAAGCCTAAATCTGCCAGGTGTTTGAATTAAATTATTCATTACTGTATCCCACTAAACATAAAGAAACATAAAACTCAGTGGTTGTTGTCCTAAAACTAAAAGACAGTGACACAAAATTCAACAACGCAGCCGATACTCCTTCGTCTATTAACTTTACACACGTCGGTCAGGGAAGGGCCGAATCTGGTCCAGGAGCCATAAAAGTTTAGGTTCAAGAAACAGATTAGCTTTAGAGCTGCAGCTAGTCAGAACTCAGTCCACAAAAAAGTCTCGTTTTTGTTTTCAGATGTGTTGCAGATGTTTAGGTGAAGGCTCTTTTATAAATCTTTCAAACGGCTTTAAGTAATTATTTACACAAGAGCTCAATTTATGGGGGAACAAAGTGAAATCTCTTCGGCGAAGCACGAAGAGATTAAAATTAAAAATTTAAAATTGTCCTGAAGTAGGAAGGGTAAAACTATTTTATGAACACAGAGATGAATGTTTTAAGCTTTACCTATGCTGGAGACTCTTATTTTGAAAAGAAAGGGAAGGAAAGGAAGCAGATTTTGATTTGTCAGATTTGGCTAACAAAGACACATTGGGAAAGCTGACAACAAAGTTTATTAGCATAGCAGCATTCATTGTACCACACTCTTAGTTGTAAATAAACATCTAACTCAAAAATCAGGGTTTCCAAAACAGCAATTGCATACTACAACTAAGAGTGACGTTTTTTTTTTTCTTTTTTAATTAAAAATCTTTCAACCTTGTCAGAAGTCTGATTTGTCTGAACTCCACTCTGACACCTTGCTTGCTGTAAACATAGTATCGCTTTAATTGATGTAGAAAACGCTGTAAGAGAGTAATCTGCTGCAGTGGGGGTTACACAATATCCGGTAAATATTTTACTGCGACACCATCGCTGTAAATTTTAACGGCAAAATTAATTCCACAAAAGATAATATTCCTGACATTCTCCTTTATTCCCGATTACACAATGATCTCACTGGTCTCTGTGTGCTTTTAGCATCACAGCTGTAAAAGCACCGACGAGTCCATCCAACGTACCAAATACATTATAGATGAATAAAATCTTTCACAATTGCAATGTGCCTCACCGTAATGATGCTATGATAGAGCTGCATGTTTAAGCTACAACACAGGATTCTCTTATTTTTGTTCATTACTTCACACAGTTACAAATCACGCTGCACTTTTTACTAGATGCTTATATTAAATACCATGTGTGAATTCGATTATGAGTTATGACTTTTGACACTATTTGCACTACTTATGAACCTTGAAATTTCGCGTTGGGAACAAATAAAATCATTTGATTTGGACTGAATTGAATTCTCATTGTTTTCACTGAAAAAACACTAAATCTTACCAAGTATTTCTGGGATAGTTTCTGGTGTAAATATATTAGTACACTTGAAATAAGACAAAACCAACTAATAGATTGCGTTTCAGCAGGATATAGGAGATTGTTTAAAATATAATATTAATACTGATGAAAAATTACTACTTCTATTGGCAGATTAGTTCACTTATAACATGTAAAAGAATATCTCGTCATAAAATTGAAATAATCAGCCAAACGGACTAGAACTTTTTCCTCCTCAATATTAAGAAATTAACTCCTACTTCTTTCTGAAAAGTTACTTGTGAGTTAATTTTGTCTTATTTCAACCGTACTGAGAAATGTGCACTAGAAACTTGACCAAAAATATTTGGTAAGATATATATATATATAATTTTATATATTATATATATATTATATATATAATTTTTTTGCAGTGCTAAAGCAATAATGATCAAATTTCTCAACTGAATTGCTTAATCCATTCACCCATCCTTACCACACTCCTTCAGACCGACTCCCAAAGCGAGCAGCCTTTTAAATAAAAAGACACACCGTCGGAGATATAACTATAACTTATTTTCACCAATTATTTCTACACTCTGATCCATCACTGGGTTAATGCCGCCCGGCTCCAGCAGCCAGCGTTCCCACCAATCTGTCAACGTGCGTACGGAGAGCGCTCGTCTGTCAGATATAACTGCACTAATTCTCGCCAGAGGGACCAAATGAGCAATAAGAGTTTAATCGTATAGCACTGAATCAAAGTTGAGGCCCATATCGGGAGGAGGGGGGAAAAAAATTAATTACCTACTGTTCTTCAACTTCTTATCGCACATATTCATCAAATGTACAGTTTTACATTAAATAGGAAAGACATCCTCAGAGACCCTTAAATTAAGCATGCTGAGACACATTCGGTTCCTGCGCCTGCAGTGAATAATCAATGTAAACCCATAATGCTATCGTCCATCTATCGATGGGCGTATTAAATCAGGCGCTCCTCTTGTGAAGGTTTTTGGTCATCTTTAGATAAAGAGCTTTAAATGAACGGAACAGAGAGCCAATTACTCTTAGAACAAAATGACCCGAATGTGCTTGTTGGACTCAAGAGGACAACGTTAACGCTTAGAGAGAGAGAGAGAGAGAGAAAAAAGGGAGCGTCTCATCATTAGTGAGAGGTTACGCTATCGGACAGGTTCAGGTATTTCTTGACAACGTGATCCATCACGCAGCGTCACTAATTAACCACAGTCTGAACACGCATGCAGATTCAAATCAGAAGCTTATCAGTAATTCAATTTAAGATGCTAACGCCAAAAAAAAAAAAAATGAGTCTCCCTGGGACTACTCAAGGATGAATGAAATGAAAATGGAGGACACGACAAGACAAGCGGATCCCGGAGAGAGGCGAGTTTGAGAAAATATAAAAAAAAGCCGAATGAATTCAAAACAAAATCTCTGCCCCACATTAAAGAGAGATTGGTTTCTCAGGGCAGGCTATTTTTCTGTGAAAGGGATTCCTGCTTGACAATTTCTTCTCTAATGGGGTGTTTAAAGTGTGAGGTGAGGCGCTGCAGGAAAAGCAAACAAACAAATCACAGAAAACCAGAAAACTAGAAGACCTGGAGCAGATAAACTCATTGGGACAATGTTTTATAAGTGAACACAAACAAATCCATCAGAAAGAAAATCACGGTTTCAATGTTTACGTGAGAAGTTAGTTATCCATCTTACAGAACGTTTAAATATTTCCAATGACGCAACTGAGATCAAATTTACATCAGATGTTAGCAACTACCTAATATTGCAAATATTAGTAAATCGAAGGAAATTAATTCAACACATGAAGTTGGAATGGCGTAAGGAAAACGTATTGCACGCATTTGCAGTATTTTATCCAATACTTTAGGGAAAGCCTCTCAACATTTGACCCATTCTTCCACACAAACCATCTGCAAATCTTGAAATCTTTTTGGCCTTTCCCCGGATTTTCAAGTCAGGTGATTAACTGGAACACTCTCGTAGTTTTTCTTTGTTTTTCCCAAACCAATTAACAGTTTTCTCAACTATGTGGTTGGGACTATTGTTTGTATGAAGCCAGGGAACTAACTGCGCTCATTTTAACATTCACAAAGTTAAATTACATGGCTGTAAACAATTCCATTAGTATTGTTTTGCAAAATTAGGGCATTTTTACTGAATAAGCAATCTCTTTACAAGCCTTAGTTAACATTAAGCCCACTAATATTAATTTTCATTTTCACATAGCAACAGTAATGCTTTCTAAATGCCGATAGATTTCAAATGGCTTCTTGGCTTTCTATACCTTCTTACAGACAACTGGCGAGACTTTCGTATCAGTGCTTCCATAAAAAATACTTAAAAAAGCTCATTCCTCTTTTCGCCTGTATCTGTGTAGATATTATTCAATAGCTCTTTGTATTTGTGTTTACAGTTTGCTGTAAGTACAGCCTTTTCTCTGATTTGTGTATGTACACACACCTTTCGAAGTCAAAAAGGATTTTTCACGTTCATATTTACAGCACAGTCCACATTAATTTGCACCTCTGGCTAGGATGTGTGAAAATGAGTAAAATCCATTTATCTTTTATAACAGCAGCGTGCTTCTTGTCACTGAACATTTTCAGTATTTAACAGTGAATTTTGGAGGTTTGTTTTCCCCTTTTTATCATCCCTCTCTCTCTGTGCATACAGGAAAGATAATAATGGACGCTCAGTCAGCCTGGCATGAAACAGTTTCCAGTTTTATTTTGTTATTAGTTGGACAAGTTTAGGTTAATACTGGGGAGTCTTCTTTCTGTAGATTTGGTGTTCTCTGTATGAGTTTAAGCTCAAAGTTGAGCTAACCCTCAACTTAGCTCAACCCCATATCAGGGGTCTTCCCTTCCTGAGTTAGATGCATCACTGCACCTTTTCTGAAATGACTTATTGATTTCCTCTGGATTATTTCTGAACTCTCTCCTTCTAAAAAACCATTTCCCTGGCAATAGTACAATGAAACAGGGACAGAAAAAATACTAATAATTTGTAAACGCAGACCATTAGCCACTGCTAGCGCTGAAGCTAACGCCTACTTTAGAGCTTCCTAATGGTGCTTAAATAAAGAGCTTGTTTGCACTTTAATAGGTCCAAACTGTATTTTTTTTCTTGAGATGAAACTTAAAAAAATAGAGTAAAACATAAAATATATAAGAATTAGATCGTTGGCATTTTGCAAACAGAAATAACTTTTGTAATTCTAATCGAAGTAAATTTGGTTTAACTTCAGGGAGTAAGAATAAAAAAATGTGTTTTTTTTATATATGTAAACTTCTGGTTCGAATTATATATGGAGTCTGCTTGATTTATTAATTTTTAGAATCAAATAGCATTCAGGAAAAGACAAAAGAAATATCTTTTCACAGAGTGCGTAAACAAGAGGTGCTACGTTTAAAGCATTCAATTTCGAAGGAATTGCAGAAAGACAAGCCAAAAGCATTAGTGTTGACAGCCATCAATCATGTGTCTTTTTTTTTTACAGTACTATTGGCCAAAAATATATCAAAAGAGGAACAGAAGCAATACGAACAAAGAAATGAGGTTGGCTGCTGCATTGAAGACATAAAAAAATAAATAAATAAATTGTTTTTCACTGACCTTTACTCACACTTTAAAATGAATAAATATATACCAGGTTGAAATTAAATACTGTGTAAAGTGAGCAAATGCAATATTTCATGGCATTTAGGAAATACAAAATATGTTTTTCAAATCATGACTTCCTTTTTTATAAATGTGAAAGGCTGTCCAAAGAAAAACTAAGGAAAAATGCTGACCTCCTGAACCCAATAAATGGCTTTGCCACCCTCAGCAGCTCCAGCTTCCTTTAAATGTCCACAAACCGTGTTTTACATCAGCGCGGAGGAAGGCTGGCACACTTTTCTTGGCAGAATTGCTATAATTCGCCCACAATAAAGCGTTCTTTTTATTTTTTTTGAGATTATGCCATCTCAAAGAAATCCAAATCCAGACTTCGACTAAGCCACATCAAAACAAAACATTTTATTTTATTGTTTTATTTGATTTTTTTTCTTCGAGCCACTGAGGAGTGGAGTTTCTGGTGTGATTTAGATCATTGTCCCGCAGCACAAAAAAAACAAAAAACAAAAAAAAAAAACAAGTGTGTTTAAGTATGAGAATACAAACTCTGAGTAATTCTCCTTCAGGATAGCATTTATACTACACTGTAAAAAAATACATATATATAAAAAAAACCTGACAGCTGGGGTTGCCATAAGTGAATTAATGGATAAAGTACTTTCAAAGATAACAGCGAAATGATCAGAAAGGGTGGCATCAAAGACATTGGAAGTATTCACACCCCTACTGATAACCAGGTCCACACATGTTGAACAAGCTGAATCAGACCAAAATTATTAAGAATTTACTTGCAGCTAACCTTCGTATTCCAAATAAATATATAAAGGCTAATATTTATGGCTCTTTGAGGTAGAAATTTGTCTAAGACGCAACAAACTAGACCAACCCTGTCATTACCGCCGTCATAAATGGTTTTGGTTTTTATTTTGTACAAAGTTTTAGACCAAATAGAATATATTACTTTCCCACACACTGATAAAATAAACCTGATGTGAATCTCTCTAGTGAAAATTTAATTTGGATAGCAGTCACTGTCTTTTTTTTTTGCTTTACTCACTGACAACTTGGAATATTTACTTTTCACGTCATTCGAAAACCTTCCTCGTGTTTTTGGAATGACTTACAATGTTGGCTTTTGTTTTTAAAATGATACAATTTATCTGAACCAATAATTTGATATTTGGACCAAATAACACTAACAAAAATTGTTTAATTTCTGATGAATAACTGGATTTTAGAATTAGTCTTACCTACACAGTGCCTAATCTTGTATAAATATTTGCATCTAACATTTTTTTACAGCATCAACTCTTGATTTGTTTTTACGTTTATAACGTTGCCAAAAAAGAAAACAGTTTGTGATTGGTAATGAGAAAAACAGTCGTACATGTCTTTTTAATTTGGCGTATGTAAACTTCTGGTTTCAACTGTCCCTGCAGTCGACGCCAATATGAAAAGAACCAGGAAAAAAACAAAACAACATCGTCATCGTCGCCCAACCTTAATAGAGCCGCCAGTGCTGTGTGCCATCAGCATTAACACAGCACTCATGAAATAGACGCGAGGAAAGGGTGAACAATAAATGCGACCTCTTAAGTAGAGAGTCAGACTTTTTTTTTTTTCCCTCTCCCCATAATGCCTTCGAAAATAAAGACACCAGAATGTACCGACTCCCGCTTTGAGCTGACATTTTGTCTTGAATAAAAACAGTGACACAATCCGAAAGGCCTTATCAGGCGGAGACATACGGAGGCAGACACATTCACAGACAGTTACTGAACTCTTCTCAGACATAACGCACTCATACCCCGTCAGCTGCTAGCCAATCTGCTAATGGGGTGAGACGCTGCTGGCGCGCAGATTTGTAAGCTTAGACGCAGGAACAACAACTTTGTCACTTTGCCTTAGAGATATATATAAAAAAAAACACTACACGTTTCATAAAAGACGTCTGTATAATTCATGAGCAGCTACGGATTTCCGAGGCGCTGCCTCCTTGGAGCTTTCGCAGAATGGCTCTATAACCGAGGCAGCCGAGGTTTGTTGCATGATGGTGCTATTCGCATTCAGGACAGTAGCCCGCTCACTTTTCTTGGCCTGAATCCCATACCGGGAAATGAAATCAGACAGCTCTGTGAGGACGAGACTATAAAAAAAAAAAAAAGAGGAAGGAAGGAAGTACAAACCGAGTCCACGGTGCAGTCTGTCCCTGACAGGTCTAAATGGACCAGGCAGTTGGGCTGGGCCAAGAACAGGTACAGGTTCTGCAGAGGAAGGAAAACAAATGACGTGTTTCAGGCAATTAATACATTAAAGACTTTTAAAGGACATTTTTGTGAGATAATTCAGGTGTGTTCATGTTATGCAGACAAACTTCAACATATTTTATTTGGATTTTATATAACAGACCCACACAAAGCAGCACATTGTTCTGAACTGGAATATAGTGTGGCGTGCCTTCAGCCCCCATACTGTTAGACCATAAAATCAAATCCAGTTCAATCGGCTGTCCTTACAAATGACATCTGTGAGTCGAGTTCAATTTAGGGTGTTTTCACACCTGGTAGTCTGTTAGTCCTTGTTTGACTGGGGACCAACAGAACCAAACCCTTTGAAAAACCTGTTCACCTCCTCGCCTGGGGTGGCGCTGCACCAAGAACCACTGAAGGAAGCAATAAGAAAACCTCTGAAGACGACAAGAACGCAACTTTGCTTTACGCGAAATGTAAGCAAAAATGGAGTAGCGTCAGATTTTAGTGGTTGTAGGAGTTCTCTTTTGTCTTTGGTGAAAGACTATTTCTCCTGCTAGCGCTAGACTCTCGTGTTTGTTTTGGTTGCATTTCCCCAGAATGCCTTGCGCCACAGTCGGCTTCCTGCTTTTGGAGCGGTGTCCAGTCCACTTGGTTTTCACATGCAGTGCGCATTTGAACCGCGCCAGAATTAACTTCAACCGAACCAAGACCTAACAGAGTCCGTCTAGGTTTTCAGGTGGACCAGAGTTCCCGTTTTTTTTTTTTTTGACCGCATCAGAGATTGACTGTGCATTCACGCCTCCCCAAATGAACCAGATTTTCAAGCACAGCTGAGCTTCAGAAGGTCAATCTGTAGATGCTCTGCAGACACGGTGAACAGACTGGGTGATTCACTTTTCATGCTTTCACAATATTGCCAGAAGTAATGTAAGAAAGCTAGAAGAATCTTCTTTGGTGTAGTGGGGAAAAAAAACCTGAGGATTTTGGGTAGACTGAGATGCCGGCAATGATTCTTGGTGTTACGTGGGATAAATTATGGTACATTTTTCAACTCCAAAATTTTTTAAATTTGTCAAACATGCTTCTTGGTTAGTCTGAGATGCCAATTCTAGCAGGTCTGATTCATCCAGTCGGTTTCTATGCAGCTTTTCCCAACACAAAAACTCCATAAAAACAGCAGACACGGTCCGTGTAGCTTGATAAGAGTCACTCACCGTGGCGTCCTCTCCAGACAGAACCCCGGGGTTCTTACTGAGGTCCAGGTGCAGCAGAGAGTTGGAGTAGTCGTCACTTGAACACAGAGCTTGAGACAATGAAACAACACCTGGTGGAATAAAACAGAAATGAAGGGATGCATCATTTAGCCAGCCAACGACTGATGATCACATTCGCATTTTTTTTAAGTGACAATTTCAACACCGTCGGTGAGCAATAAGCAACTGTCGATTATAAAGCGTCAAAATGGACTAAAAGAAGCAAAATGGGTAAAAACAAACAACTAAAGAGGAGGGTTTTTTTTAAAAAAGAAGTTATCATAAGAAAGGAGCTATAAAAACCATTTTCTCTCTGTTGTACTTTCAGAGTGTACCCTGAACCAAAACAAAGGTCAGATCACAGAAGTACCTTTTGTTGCACAAACGCACAATGCAGCAAGGGAATCATTAAACTTAAATACATCAACTCTACAGAAGAGATACTGAGAGGTGGCAGTAACTAATAACAAGAATCACCAAAGCCTGCCGTTTGCTGTCTGGTGCATCTTGGGCCCTCAGCAGCAGGTGCAGGAAGCCCGCTTTGCCCGTTCTATTGCTTCAAGGAGCATCTGTGCTAGAAGGCAGATATGGCACGTGTTGCTCGAAAGCAGACGAGGCACTAAGCTCCTCATCCCTTAATTTGTAGCGATTAAGAGGGAAATGACGGGAAGAGGGGACAGAGAGTCTAATCCTCCCCCCACCATCCATCTAGTCATCAGCTGCTGTGAGCAGGGGGAACGTTGGAAAGCCATCAAGATGACCCGACTTTATCGCCAGAGTGTGTACATCCTGGTTTTCTGGCGCACAGGTACAGCGTCTTTCTACATTCTGTCCTGCTACAACCTCTAACTTTATGGACAAGACGAATAAATATTGAGGTTGAAGAAAATGTCATGTCTACGCTTTTCTACAGCAGTACTGTATGCTGTCAGGAGATGATTGGAGCTGAAACAGGGGTAATCCTTAAAAGAATTTTATTATTAGAGGCTGCAAAAATCCTGGGCTGAAGGTACATGTTCCTAAACAGAGCTACAATGTTTAGATCCAAGCATATTCATATGTTAGAATGACCCAGTGAGAGTCCAGACAGAGCTCCAACTAAAAATCTGTAGCAAAATGTGAAAGCGTACGCTGACAGAGGCTGTCCAACTAATAATCTGACAGAGCAGTCGCTAGATGAGCCGAGCTGGTTTTACAAAGCGCTGATCAAATACAGGACATGCCATCTTCAAATTGTCTCTGGAAAAAAGAAAAATGTTGAAAGCCATGCATCCTTTTTGGTTCACTTCACAATTAATCACTGCTTTCTGCTGTTCTATCACGTAAAATCCCATTGAAATACATTATATCTGATGGTTGTGTTCTGACTAAATGTAGAAATAATGAACTCAAAAGGCACTATCCTGTAGGTGTTTAAGAATCACATGAAAAGGAAGAGGAGGGGGAAGAGAGAGAGAGAGAGAGAGAGAGAAGGGAGAGAGAGAGAGAGGGAGAGAGAGAGATCTATAAATATTCAGCAAAAAGTGGTAAGCCTCTCCAAAGTCACGCCAACAACTACAACTCAAGGTCAGACCAACTGTATCCTGCTGAATCACTATCTGATCTTGTTGGCTTTTAAAAAACTCTCATTTATAACACGCTAACTTGGTGTCAGGGTCACTATCTGGAACACACGCAACACTTTTAGCCTTAAATATTGCATTTAGCCTATCCTTATTTAATCACAGGAAAGCTGCCTAAAGATGAAGAAAAACTGAGTGGGTGAATACATTTGCTTAACAGAAAACACTTGATCAACTTTAACAAATGTGAGCCAGAGTCATTGACTTTGTGTTGATATGAAAAATCGTGTGTGCGTGTGTGTGTGCGAACTCTATGTCACGCACCGCAGAGAGCAAAGAGGCCATTTTTTTGCAATCAGCATGGGAAGAGCTGCAAGGCCATTTTCAAACAATCTGTCATCCATTGTTTTACAAAGAACAAGAAAATACTCAAGTGGGGAATATTTAGGACAGTCAATGTTCCCAGAAAAAGGACAGGTTTATTTTCAAAGACATGAAAGACAAATGCTGTGAGCATTGGCAAAAAAAGGTGTCATTTTGCATGAGGTGCCATTTATTGTCCCTTAACAGGACATACATGACTTATATTTGCAAAATCATGTCTGAACAAAACATGGACTTTTAAAGCAATGTCCTTTAGACAGAGACCCAATTGGTGTTAAACTACATAAACATCAGATACCGATAAGCGTCGATTGCTGGAGAAGGGGTGATGTTGACTTGTATTCTAGCCCCTTAAATTTGGTTCAGTTGAGTGAGCCAATGAGATCCACTTTACTCTTAATCAGGTAAACTACTCTCAGCCAATCAGATGTCAGCAACTCAGAGCATTTAGGCATCTGGGCCTGGTGTAATCAACTTGTTTGGGGATTTCAACTTTTATTGTAGGAGAGTTGTTGATATTTTGTCAGTTTTGTTACCGACTGCTAAGCCTATCTTTTTCTTACCACAGTCTATCCTCTGATGGCTACTCCAGCAGGATATTGGATAGCATGTTTCTTTCTTGACCAATGACTGTCCATCATTAGCCTCCACAGTTACAAGAGCAGAAGAGAAAGGGAAATTCTTATCATGGGTGTCCAGCCAAACAGCAGTGTGTCAATGTAAACCAACATGTCTGACCAACGTTTCCGACACCTAGTTGGATCTATTGCACAAATAAAGTGGTCAGTCTTTATGGTCAAACATAAAGCTATCAATTGGATAGCTCTTAATTTGATTCATGCAACAAGACAGCTATCTTAAACCACAGCACATCCACAACATATTGACTCTAAAAAAAGAGAGATGGACTGAAATGTGAGAAAGTTGTCCAGCTTAGTTCCCGCTCCCTATTGAAATGTTGTTGTGGGATTTAACAGAAATGTTCAATAGTGAATGTCCACAAACTTTAATACAGCGAAGAAAAGCTACAAAAGAGGAGCTGCTTCTGCAACCATGACCGAAACTGGGTCAGAACGCTACAAGACTTGGTCAAAAATATGCCAGAAACATTTCCAAATCAATCGTCTGTCTCCTCTTGGACACAACACATCTTTGGCTCTGACATCAGCCATGTTTAAACGTTGCTCTTCGGGATGATGCCGTACACAGAGCAGGCATCGTCAAAAATGCTTTGTGACCAATCAAAGAATCAAAAAGCTTTAAAGAATCACCGCTGCACACATCACACAGAAACGTTGGGTTACTTAACGTAATCCCTGGTTCTTTGATAACAGAGTGAGGTGTTTCACTATGGGAATCGCCTCAGCATGACCCAACTATGGAAGCACCAATGACATCACGTCTGTCCGTGACAGACAGGTTGAGCTAAGTTGTAGTGCATGGAGTTCACCGTGCTTGCTGGCCGTTAAGTCGGATGGGTCTGACCGCTTTTGCACTGATTTTAGAAAAGTTAACGGAGTCACAAAACCAGATTGCCACCCGCTTCCTCGGATGGAGGATTGTGTAGATCGAGTAGGCTCCGCAGTGTTTGTGACAAAGTTAGATCTGCTGAAAGGCTATTGGCAAGTCCCGCCAAGGAAATCACTGCATTTGTGACTCCAGATGCATTCTTGCAATATACAGTGATGCCATTTGGCGTGCGTAACGCGCCGGCAACTTTTCAGCGTCTGGTAAACAAGGTCTTGTCTGGTGTGAAGCTTATTTAGATGACATTGTCATTTATTCAGACTCTTGGGAGGAACATCTAGAACAGGTGAAAACTGTGTTTCAGAAATTAAATGAGGCCCACCTGACGG